TGTTTATTTTACTATGAAAACTGCAGCTCTAGGAATTCACCTTTCCTAATTACTATGACCAAATAAACACATGGCTGCGTTTCATTTTGGTCGCCATTCCTGTTTCAGAGGCAGAAGCTTTTTGTGGGTTTGGGGGAAGAAAGGCTTTTTCCAAACTGGGTCAAATTCTGTCTTTTCTTGCTTTGCCTTTTCTCTCTCTGCCAGTCTACACTGTGGGATCCTGCAAATTCCATTTTCTCCTTTATGTGCAAATTCTGCTGATCACTTCCACCTCCTTAACACCCCTCCTGGGCATCTCTTCCTTCCTTCCATCTGCGCTGACACCACTATTTTTGACTGCATGTATTTGAAGTGTGACCATGTCTTTTCTCTCCATTTCACAGTCTGGACTCTGTAGCACAGGCAGGGCACTATGGTGCCACTGTCCATCCTCTAAAACAGTGTCCTTCTTAAATAATTGGAAATTCAGTAACACGTGAGGATAATAAGAAGAAAAATAATCCATAATACTCAACAAATTGTATATTGGGGCAGGAGGGGAGAAGTTTTGCACATACATCTTAAATATTTTAAAAATGTTTTTCGAATTTGTGTGGAAAGCAACACAAATTCAGAGATCAGTCATTAAATCTTAGTCTATTTTCACATATTAAATGGCACTTTTAATACTTTAAATTTTTAAGGCAATCATTTGACTAATGAGTGAGTGAGTTTATCATGTGCTGAAGTATTTGTACTTCACTATTTTGTACTTCACTATTTCTGTGCTAATACTGACTTTTTTGTGTCACAGCTGTGATACATTCCATGCACAGGACATCATAAGGTTTCTCATGAGTTGTCCTCATTGTAGGTGGTGCTTTGGTTGTTCATTCTGACAAAGCAGTTCAGATGTATACATTATTTTTAGGCTTTTTGTAAGTTCAAAACTGGGTATAAAAGCCCATTTGTGTAGTAAAGTATATACCACATGCAGTAAAATGATCTGGGTTTTTAGTAGCTGTTGTTGCTGTTGTTCTTTAGCATGTTCACACTTACACCCGGGCTTTTAAAACTAAATCTTTTAACAGAATCATTAAGCAGCTTTCCAAACAGAAACATGAATGTCAGTAAAAGAGAATGACAATATTTTCAACAATGCAGGAATTTTAATTAGTATTCTCTAACTTGGCCAATTACATATTCGGAGAATATGCCTTTTTTTTTTATTGTTCCAGCCAACTTCAAATAATTTATATTTTGAGTTCAGGTAGATTGTTACAGGCAGAGATGCAAAAAAGCAGCAGCAGCTGAATGCTCCTTTAAGCCTAATTTTCTTTAGAGGTAAATAAATGCATGCTTACATGCACAAATATACATAATCAAATATTTTTATAAATGTGTACCAATATGTGCAAAGACAGATATGCATGTATATATTCACTAACTATAAAGAGGGAAGAACTGACAGAAACAATTCCAAATAGACAAACACCATACAATGAGTAATCTTATGGAATATTACAGGCTTAATTTCTGGTTTCTGGGCTGAATTTGGAATGACTGAATTTCTTGTCAGTCACACACTGCAAGGTACTGCTGCAAGTGATAGTAGCTGCTTGGGCTTAGGGTCTTCTCAGTTTCTTCTTATGGTCCTCTCATTTAAACTGTTAATGCTGCAGTGTTGTTATCTGCTGCCTATCAAATCTGTGCCTTAACCTTTGAATTTAGGTGATCTCTCTCTATAGCACTATTGATATTTATCACTTAAAAGAAGGGAAACACCACCTGGAGAAAATGGGACATTGAGAGCATTGTGGCCTTCCTATCTGGCCATGAATTCCATGCCTGTGGAAAGTGGCATGTTGCCACAAGAATTCTTGGTTTCTGCATATTTGTGTATTCTGACCAAATGTATCAAAGAAATTTTCCATTGATGCAAATTCCAGAAGAGGTTCTGAGAACCTGGTTGATGACAGTCAAGGGTTGATGTGAAAAAGCTTAGGATAAGGGCAAGAGGTTAGCAGCTTTTCAGTTGCACATCAGATTTTTGCAGCTGAATCTTCCCATTGCTCTTTGGTGGTAAAAGCTTGAATTGCTCCATCTGGTGACCTTCTAAGTCACACAGTCTCAGGAAAGCTGTATGTGCTGATTCAACAGAAAACTTGTTGAGCTCCAGCAGGAAGCCAAAATAAGCCCTTATTTGCATGAGGCAGTTCTGTTTGCACATTTACGTTAAGACCCATAGGCTGATTTCTGCTCTTGAAAACCCCGCCACCTCCCACCACCCTTTTTTTTTTTTTCGAATGGGAAGAAGTGAAGAGATCCTGTTATCACCAAACAGACAAGGAGTCAGGTCTGTACTAGTAGTAGTTTTCTGCTAAGTTTTGCACCAGGCATGATGTAAGCAGGTTGCCATCCTGTTCCTGAGTTCCAGCGCTGGTTTCTGGCATGGAAGATGAAGGCAGTGTTAACTGTTAGCTTGGTGATCTCTTTCCTGGCTGGTGGGAACATGACTGTCAGAGCTGGGCATAGACACATAAACTAGAATTGAACTCTTTGAAAGTGTTTCCAAGTCCTGTGATATTTTGTCATAAATATTTCCCCAAATTAAGACTCCAGGGATGTGCTGTCAGAAGTCTCTGCAACAGGGAATAATTTCTAAAGTAGCCCTTCTGTGTGTGCTTTGAACAGTGACCAATGAGCCTGATGTCAAACTGCTCATCTGGATTTGCTTTTATAAATTCCTGTGTCCCCAGACTGTCATATTCCTTTTTCAAGCATTATGCTGCCTGTTTTCCAGCCTTGGGTACAGTCAAGTTAAAGGTGGTGTGAGAATATCCTTGGTGGTGTAGCTGTCTGTCTCATCACCAAGGCACTGCTGTTAAATCATCAGGGGTGTTCTGCTGCATAGGTTCTTATTCACATTGAAGATTTTGCAGCACCAGGTTACAAACTGGTAAAGCAAACAATGACACGAGCATTACTGAGAGACAGTTACTGCCCTCCATTGCTACAACATCAGTGAACACCTAGAAATGTGCACAGGAATGGTAATCTATTTATTTAGAACATCAGTTGCACAGCTTATCTAATTCTGCCCTCACTCAAATACAATAATTATTAGAAAGTGTGCTACCTACTTAGTAAGAACACATGTAAACTACTGTGTTTAATGTTTATATTGTACTCTGCATATGTGAAGCAGGGTACAAGAGTGATTTGCAGTTTATGCACTGACTTCTCCATTACGGTCCTGAAGTGAAGTACTGGAAATAGAAACCTTAATACAGCAGGTTCTTAGAATTCTATCTTTTAACATTTTTGTTTGTATTTAAAAGATATGAGGGTTTTTTTTTAATGTGGTGGGGTTTTTTCTACTTGCTACATAGAGCCTTTTTAGATTTGGCCAAGGAGAGATCTAGTTAAATTAATGTAATGATTCTGGGAGTCACTGAAGCTCACAGTATTCCCACACATTTATCAATATACTGTTATGAGAGACAAATCATTTTAACATTTGAGATGAAGATTACTTTATGTGTGATGCACACAAGACCTCAAATGATTGAGCTGCATAACCCTTGCCATAGGTGACCCTTCCTGATGAAGAGGTCTCTCTGGAAAAAATCTTCTCAATCAAATGCCAGTTCTTGTGCTCACAGACGTACTCATAAAAATATGGATGTGCCTACTCAGAGCCTTATCTGGCACCTGTGGCCATGCTGAGGGGGCAGAAGTGCAGAGCACGCATGGCAGTTTTGTACAGCACTGCACTCAGAATAATAAAACTTGTGTCACAGCTTTATTCATATAGTCAGGAGTGGCTGTGCCATTCTACTGTTCAAAAGAAAGCTACTCATGTCATTGTGCAGCTCCTGGTCATCTCCTATAGACATACTGAAGTGGGTTTCCTCTGGTTCAGAGATCTGCTGTACAGTTTGGTGTGGGGTATATATGAAATTAACTCACTGCAGAGTTGCTGTATGCAGTTCTGCAGTGGTTATTCAGGAAGTTATGTATGAAAACTGCAGTTTCCTCTAGCTTAAAAATCTACAGCTACTCAGAAGTGCTGAGTCTTAGAGTGGGTGACAAATCTCCTGAGGGCAGAAGCATTCAAAAATGCCTTAAATTCCTTGCTGACGCATAGCATTTCAGTGCATCCCTTTTGTGGTATAATATAAAGGTATCTGAATAGTTTGTAGCCAGTATGGTTTTCCAGAGGTTTTTCCTCTGTTTAACTAATTGACAGAGTACTGGTCGCTTCCTTGATGGTAACACAGCAAGTTGAGCCTGCTTCTGGAGACTGTCCAGCCCAACCTCCCACTCAGAGAAGTGCCTTCCACCTAGCAGAGTTATAATTTTATGTTATGACTGCTCAGATTTAACACGTTCAAGTGAGTACACCTTGAAGGCAACCAGAAGATGTAACTCCAGTTCACTTTTGCTATGAGCAAGCCCCACCAGTTTCCACTGAATTAACCAAAAGTGCTGCTTGCTCCATCTGGTGCCAAATTTGGCTGTTTTTTGCAACTGGGCAGGGAGCAACACAACAATTGTCTTTTCTCTTCTTTCTCAGCATTACTGCCATCAACAGTTAGGGAAAAACCCAATGCAACTAATTTTTGCAAATGTTGCCTTAACAAAGACAAGATATGTTGCCACAGGTTTGGGGCAAGATATGTTCACCTGATACCCCAAGGAAACCTTCAGGAATTGTCAGGAGATGGAAAAGGTGTGACCAAAAGAGGACCCTGAGCTCTTGGAAGTTCTGTTGGCTGAATAACTATTGAAGTTCACTGGTTCATCAGAGAGGTTTTTTGGTTTGTTTTGGGGTTTCTTTGGTGGTTTTTTTTTGTTGTTGTTGTTTTTTTTGTTTTTTATTTGTGGAGAAAAGTGTGGTATTTTTGCCCAAAGTGGAAGGAATAGAAAATGTAGTTTCAGTTAGGCAACTCTGTTTACTAACAAGTTCAAAGAGTTGTATTTACAACTATTCTTCCTTTTTTTTTTTTTTAATTTAGTGGGGCTACATCCATTGTCTACAGATGCAGGCAGAAAGGGACCCAGAAACCTTATGCCGTCAAAATGTTGAAGAAGACAGTAAGTCATTTTATTTTGTTTTGATTTGGAATATGTTTGGGATTTCCTTGGGGGTTTTTTGGGTTTGAGGGTTTTTTTGGTTGTTGTGTTTTGTTTTGTTGTTGTTGTTGGTTGTTTGTTTGTTGTTGTTTTCTTTTGTTTTTCTTTTTTTGATGCAGTTTCTTCGTGTGGTGAAAACATGCTGGATTTAGGACCCTGCTAAGCTTGTATTTTATGAGACTGAGCTTCTTTGGCTCCTTATCATTGAAACAGCTGTTAGAGGTAACAGTACTGTACTGGGAATGCTTTATACCCACAAATCTTGTTTATACCTTCATCTGGTGTTATCTATGTAGACTTAGATTTGGGCAAAATATTTTAGACAAATGCATCTTTTCCTTTCACTATAGAAAAGAAACACATTCTGAATAATTTAAATGTTCAGTCGTTTCACTTTGATTTAATACATTGTTTTGCTCAAAAAATACCATGACACAATTTATCTTTTTCAGAAACTGATTAAAATACCAATTCAAACCCAAGTAAATTTAAATATTTTGTGGAGGTTTTTTACTCCTGCAAAATTGTAAGAGAATCAGTTGAGATGATACATCCTTTTTAGAGCTCCATATATATCACACTTGTACCACAGCTGGTTTTGTGTGTGCTACAAAATACATGGTTGAAAGCATGAAGAGAGACTAGAGAGGAAAGAAGAGTAATGAACTGAGAGACTTCAAGCAGAAGGAGAGTGTGAGCATAGGGTAGAGCTGCTCATATTCCTAGAAGGGGAAGAGGAGTTTGAGAGAAAGCAAGTGAGCTGTGAGGCATGGACATGATATTTATTCATGAATGGGTTTGATTCAGTTTGTTCTAGTGTTAAATCCTTCATTAATCCATAAAGTTCAGGAACATTCACATGTAGAAACATAATGATCGGTGGGTAGGTGTAAACATGTCTAAATGGTGAATTAACTGGTGGTCTCAGTGCAAGACATAATGAATGGGTTTCATATAAGTAAAATGTTGGCATTAATTTATCATCTTTGAAAGTAAGCCAAAGTTTAAGCTGGCACAACAATTCAGTTGTATGTACTGCTTTTGAATTTGTATCTGGTGCACTGGAAGAAGCAGAGCATGTGAGGAGCTTGCATTGCTGCAGGCTATGATCTACCTATGGAAAAGCAGAGAACTTAATATTCAAGCTTTTATCAGTTCATTATGCCAATGATTCCCATAATGTTTTAGGAGTGTACTTTCCTATAATCCTTGTTCTAAAATGCACAAGGAAGAACGGTATTACTTAAAATTATTTCTTTGCCTTTTGATTTTTTTCTTTGTGGAAATTAATTCATGCTCACAATCACCATATTAATGCTAAATGTATCTATTTATGTCTGAAACTAGTCAATTTAGACTTTTGGTAGACTTACTGTAGCACAGATTTTTTTTGTTTAAGTGTAGGAAAAATGGCAAATGAAGAAGAAAGACTATTGTTATGTAAGTTGTTTTCACAGCAGCAGTAGGTTGGCTTAATGCAGCCATGATTATAACAGCAGTGTGGTTAAGCAGTTCACAGAGCTAAGTTGTTCCCACTGTAATTGATACACTTTGGGATGTTTTGTTACAAGAACAAGTATTCCTCTTACACAATTGAGCTTTTTTTGTATAATTGAGAACATGGGAGACAATGTTGTAAGGACGTGCCACCGCTTGTGTCTGTCCAATTTGGAGATGTAATTTTTTTTCACAGAGACAGAATTATTTGTGTTACAGTGCTCCTACAGCAGGAGGTTTGATCTTTGCTCAGAGTATCTCAGTATAAAATTAGCTACGTGTGAGCCAAATCATGCACCAAAATGTTGATCGGCTTAGGTTTTCTGCTAGCTTTTTAAAAATAGTTAGAAAAATAAATGGCAGTCCACTAATGGAGAAGAAGGGATGGGAGGAAAAGAGGAAGAGCCTGTGATTGTCTGCTTTTGATAAGAGTCCTGTTTCTTCAATTCTGTTTTTAAATGCACATAAGGGATCTCTGAAGAACACATGAAATTAGAAGAAGACAAAGGAAAATGACAAAAGAGGAAATACTCTGATTTTTCCATTAAAATTCACTGACTTTAAACACTGCACCAAACAAGACTGACTCTGAGGAGAAGGTCTGTAAAAGTAGGGTGAGGGTCAGGGATAGGGTGGTCCTGCTTCTTCTGGAAGTGATAAGAAGTTATGTGTGATTAGGAATCTGGTGGCTGATGGTCAGTTCCAGATTTGTGAGTGATGATCACTACAGTGCTGAAGTAAAGCATTAGAAATTATTACTTTGTCCCACGGGAGAGCTTAGACAAGAACCAATGATCCCTTAGGATTGAAGTGGCTTTCTAGGAACAGACTGCAAGAAACAGAAAATGCCTATCAGTGTTCTTTTTGTTTAAATAGTAAGGGTAATTTTTAATTTGCCTGATTCTGAATCAAGAGTGAATATAATTTTGGGCAAGATTTATCAGCTAGTTCTAACAATACATGCTTATTGAGGGATGTGAGTTTTTGGGAGGTTTTGTAATTAATATTTCTTCCCCATCCAGCTTAATAAAATAGTAGTAGATTATGATCTATGTTCTAGGGAGTTTTTTGATTTATGGTTTGGGGTCTTTTTCTTTTTTTTTTTCTTCCTATTGCTAGTTAAACCAACAAAGAGAAACAGAAGAAAACATGTTTATACAAATCTTTTCATGTCAATAAAATAAAACAAAATGTTGGTAATACAGTATTTCAATTTAGAGGTTTAATCATTCTTCACTGTTAGTGCAAATTGTATACAATTCTGAAAGAAGGAAGAAAAAAGGTTTTTTGTTGGTTGAAAACTACTGAAGCAGAATGCTTCCATTCCCTGTTTGTTTTGGTTTTGTCAAATTCAGCCCAAGTTTAGGAGTAATTTTGAATCCATTGAGTTACACTTCAGGTGAATAAAATTTATTTCAAAGGACATCTATGGTTCTTATTCCTAAAGCCTCTGAACGTCAAAGTTAGGAAATGAGGCAAGTTAGAACCATAAGTTCTACAGCAGCTAAAACACAACTGTTAGAAGGGATAAAGAGGTTCAAAGAAAAAATGATTTTTGGATTAGTGGGAGAAACACTCTGTGATAATGTGTAAGAAATTACATTTGTAATAATTCTTAGAAGGAATAAGCATGTCAAATTATTGCCTTAGATTTGCTCTTCCAAACTTTGGGCTTAGTTCCTGAGCATAATTGAAATGTAGGATTGTAATATATATTCATTATTTGATTTTTGCTATATTCAGGCCTCTTAAATTCCACACAGGTAGTAAATGTAAAGATTTGAATAATGAAGTTTCTTTGTAGGGAAATCTATTTCATGAAGCAAGAAAGAGGCAAAAACAGATCATATAGCACTTCAGAAAAATTCAGCTAACCAACAGAGTACAGTGCTGAACTTTTACACTTGCAATTGCAAATATGAGATGGCTTTGGTTTTCACTGTGCATTTTACCTCTTCTTGATGACTCAGTGCTTAAGAAAAGTGAAATATCTTTAGGACACACTTTACAAACATGATTGATACTGCTTTTTAGCTAAGACTGAAAAATTATGTGATTATTTACAACCAGTCTTTCTGGAATGGTTGTTGTTGCAAACAACATACAGCATGTGGATCATATTCAAAGAACACAGGTTTCTCTAAGAAAGGAAACATATATATGTACTATTTATTACATGAAGCCTCTCATCTGCAGACCTTTTCCTCCATTTAGTGTGTTTTGAGGAAGCTAGGCAGCCTGGAGAGTGTGTCAGAATCTGGGCAGGTGAATACCTTCCAAGAAATTAGATCCACTTCCACCTTAAATTTCTTATCCGAGTCTGGACAAGTTGCATTAAAAATAGCAAACAGAACAGATGGCCTCTCTTCCACAGTTTCTAAACTAAGACAGCAAATGCCTGCCTACATTATAGGTCTACCAAGTTCTAACCACAGTAACTGAAGTAATTTGGGATCTGCCATGGCAATAAAGCAACATGCTCTGCTGAAGGGAGAGTAGGATACTGGGCTGGGTTGTCTGGAGCCTGGGTCCTGGCATATTCCCAGTTCAGTTTTGCCACTGGCCAGGGTATTTCTTTTGGTTTCAAATTTTTCATCCGTGAAAATGAGATAATACTTACTTGATTTGCTTCTCAGCAATGCTTTGAAGGATAGCCTGGTTAATATTTCTAGGTTTTAATTGATGGGTATTGTCCCCTAACAGTGATTAAGTATTATGAAATATTAGGCCCCCTGTTTATCAGTCAATGAGGCATGCAAGTATAGAGGCTGCTTTGGAGAATTCTCATTTTGATTTCCTACTTTTTTCATGTGTGGGCATCCTCCAGATGGTTTATGATGCTTAACTAATACTTCTTCGGTACTTTTGTCAAAATCAGTATTTATGAAGCAGCATTTTTCTTGCGGACTCGTTGATGTTCAAAATCAGACAAATGTTCAGGTACATCAATTTTTTTTGAGAGCAACAGCTTTCAAGCAATGCCTACTGTGGAAATAGTTGTGCTGCAATTAATCTAAATGTACTAGTAAGTTGGAAAATTTGAGAGCAACAGATAGTTTATGTCTATGAAGCAGAGAGGAGTGTCAGCAGATGTAAAGGTAACAGGCTTCCCTTTTGGAAAAGTGGGGTTGGATACCTAGAGTTAGGGTCTGGAGGAGGTTATAATGATATATATATAAAAGTCTCAATTACATTAGTGTTTGCATATATACATATATGAACATTGGGCAGGCAACTCAAGAAGAATACAAGGATGTTGTTAGGTCATGTAGAGAGAAAATCAGAAAGGTAACAGCTCAACTCAGTCTGGCCAGTGCTGTGAAAGATAATAAAAAGTGTTTTTATGAAAACATCAACAACAAGAGAAGGGCCAAGGAAAATCTCCATTCTTTATTGGACACGGGAGAACATTGTCATAAAGGATGAGGAAAAGGCGGAAGTACTTTGTTGCTTCTTTGCTTCAG